CAAGTGAGTGGAGAGGCTTGATGAAATCTCCCTCAACATCTCGCCAAGTGAGTGGAGAGGCTTGATGAAATCTCCCACAACATCTCGCCAAGTGAGTGGAGAGGCTTGATGAAATCTCCGACAACATCTCGCCAAGTGAGTGGAGAGGCTTGATGAAATCTCCCTCAACAATCTGGATCAAGAACGCCCCACTGGGGATTTGAACCAGGGTCATCCGCACCACACACAGCCCAGCATGATATCAACCGAGCTAACGCGGGCCATGAACAACGCTAACTACGCTCTACTAATGTAATAATAATAATTATAAATAAATAGCATTTGTATAGCGCATATCCCCGCTCAACGGCTGGCTCTAAGCGCTTTACACTATATTACCTTTTATGTACCTTTTATGAAGTTTCAAACAATGCTATTCCTTGATGATAATAATAAATAGTAATTGTCAAGCTCATATCCGCACTCAACAGCGCGCTCCTTGTGCTTTACACTATATTATTACCTCAGCAGACTGATGCTGTCCGTGTGAAAGTGAAAGTGGACTTTCCCAACTTCTGCCATTTCATCAAAGAATTCAGAGCAAAAGCAGAAGAACATTTTTCTACAAATATTACATTTCATTCTCATTTATCCAAGCTCAAAACTCAAAGTACGACTCCTCAGATGTCCTTTTTTCGCTCTCACAAACCGCCCTGATCACATTCCTCTTCATTTCCAGCCACAGCAGTACAGAACCACACTGACGACTCACGGACACACACACAAACATTTTTTGGTGCTCACATCCACACACAAAACCCACAAGTATTTACATTTTTCCATTTCCATTTCCAACAGCGTGAAAGTATCATCATTCCGTGTCATAACATCCAACATCCGTGTCTTCAAATCTCTGGAGATTGCCGTTGATGAATAAATAACATTTTCCTATCTGCATGGCAGTTGTACTCTGGACAAAAGACAAGGAATGAAGAGAGGAAAGAAGAAGAGAAAGAGGAACGAGGAGAGTGAGGAGAAAAGATGGGTGAACGAACAAAGAGAACGGTGGAAGGAGAGAGGAGAAAGACATCTTGTAAAACGGCAAAGGTGGCGAGTGACTATCACTGAGAAACAACAAGGGAGACGAGAAACAGAATAGAGAGAAGAACACCAGGGAGGGAGGGAGGGAGGGAGAGAGGGAGGGAGAGAGGGAGAGAGGGAGAGAGAGAGAGAGAGAGAGAGAGAGAGAGAG